TCCTAAGTTCATTTGTCCTTTCTCAGGCTAAGGCCCAGCTCCTCTGGGCTTCAGTGTCCCATCAGAGGAGGCAAAGGGCTCAGCAGTCAACTAGTGGCAGGGCGGCTCCGACTCCTGCCAGTTGCCTCCAGGCCAGGAAGCCGCAGATAAGCGGCTGCTACACCTGGCTGGTTATAAGAATCACCGGGAGAGCTTTCTAAACACTTAAGATTTTCCTGAGCCCACCCACGTGGATTCTAATTAAAGATAGGAGTAGAGAGGTTAAAGGCGAGCCCAGGTGGGGCTGATGATGATGAGTCCTGAGGCCCACATGCAGGGCAGGAGGCCCAGGCGCCGTGGTACTGAGTCTCTGTGCCCAGGGGCAGCACCCTCGTGCACCGGAAGGCCTGAGTCTTGCTTTCTAAAACTGGCACTAAATATTTCATGTTAACTCTAGCTCTGCTCATTCCTCATCCCAGTGGACAGAGACTTAACGCCTTTTCTTTTCCAGTTTGCCCAGGAGGAAAGGAAGTTTCGTAGTTTGGTATTTCCACGGGCTAGAGCTTTGTTGTTTCTTCTTCATCTTTCTTGCCCACATCGTGTTTCTGGTCCCTTGGATCAGGGACAGAGCTAGCCACATCCCTTCTGGGTTGCAAACACTGTATTCTGGTGACAGATTAACTGATTTCTTGAGTCCCACAGGTTCACAGATGGATTATATGCAGTCTCCCCACCACCAGATATAGATGATTTAGATGATGAGATCTGGGACTTTGAGTTGGTTCTGTAAATGGGATGAGACCTTTGGGGACCCTGGGACAGGGTGAATGTATTTTGCATCTGGGATGGACATGCATCTTTAGGGGCCAGAGGGTAGGCTGGGTAGGCAGAATGATACCCACCCCGAAAAGAGGTCCACATCCTAACTAATCCTTGTAACCTACGAATATGTTACCTTATATGGCAAGAGGGACTTTGCAGATGTAATTAGATTAAGGGCCTTGAGCTGAGTAGATTATCCTGGTGAGCCCACTCTAATTGCATGAGTCCTTAAAAGCAGAGCCTAGGCTGTAAGCAGGAGAGATGAGGCGGAGTAGGAGGTCGGAGAGAATTGAAGGGCAAGAAGACAGCGTGTTGCACAGGGAATAACCACACGTCTTTTGTTCACTGTGTGTGTCCCCAAAGCCTGGAACCCAGTAGGTGCTCAAAAAAGTGCTTGGTGACAGAAAGACCAGGGAACAGGACATTTTCTGAGTACCTGCTAAGACTGCTTGGTTCTAGTTAACAGCCACGTGGACAAGCTACTTCATCTCTCTGCCTCAAATCCCTTCTCTCCAGATGACAGCAATAAGGCTCAGAGAAGGCAAGTAACTCTCCCAAGTTCATCCACTTAATAAACAGTAGGGCTGGGGTTCGAATTACGACCATCAGAGCTCATCTGGTTGCCAATCCCAACATCATCCATATCGCCTACCGCCAAGACAGCTCGGCCATAATGGGCAACACTCTCAGGGTGGGCAGCTGCGAAGCTTCTCATGGCCCCATTTTATTCCTTTGCTTCTTTCTTGGGTCACTGGCTGTCATCCCACTGACAACAGGAGAGGCCAGCAGGGGGCGCTAGCATCTAGGTAAATTTAGACCATGAGATTACACAGTGGGTCTCAGGAGTTTTTCCGGGAAGAGCCACCTCTGAATGAAGGCCCTGGCCACCTCCCCTACAACGCGGGACCCCGGCTAGCCTGACACCCATCTCTGCTACAGCCTGCTGGCCAGGTGCCCTTGGGCAAAGGACTTCATCCCTTGGCTGCTGTTTTCACAGCCTTAGGGGCACTGACACAGTAAAATAAAGTCACACAGGGAAACTGTCTGGCAGTCCCTGGCCCTAACTCTTGGTTGAATTTGCATTCTTTATCAAGAGACGTTTAATGATTCTCGTAGGACTAGAATTTCAGATTCTGCCCAAACCACATATATATTTTTTTTCAATTCAGCTGTCTCTTTTTCCTCTAACTTTTTCTATCTTTACCAAACAAGTCATCCCTAGCTGTACTTCAGAAAGCTCTGAAACATTCTAGCAAGCACCCTCGGGCTGGTTACGAAGTACTCCAGGTGTTTGATTCAAAGGTACACCTGGGTAGGGACTGTAAGCGCCCCTTTCATTTGAAAACTGCTGTGTGCCAAGAGTAAATTCAAGAATATTGTCCCTTTGCTTGTATATTTCCTTTGCCTTCCTACCTACGGACCAGCCATTCACTGAACATTTACTCACTGCTCATGTCTGTTATGCAAGGCCCAGTGCTCGGTGGAGACAGAGATAAATGAGGAACGATCACATCACCGGAGGCTCCTCCGATGGGGATAGAGATACCAAGGGACATTTCAAAACGATGAACGTGCCTATCTAGAGATCCATACTAAAAAGGGGGCTCTAATACGGTTCCCATGAACATACAGGGAAGAATTATCTCCATTTTACAGACTGACCTCCAAGCCCAAGGTAAGACAGGAAAGAACAAGACAAAGAATAGAGCCCAGGTGTGTGGCTAAGCCACTCTCTCCCTGATCCTGAGCAGGCAGGGGCCCCCAGAAGATGTCCTTTTGCACAGGCTCCAAGATGTCTGCTAAATGTAAGTCGCAGTGGCTGCAAATGTGTTTCTCCCCCTTATTTTTGCAAGCAGGCAGCTGTTCAGTGAGCTTGGACCGTGGCCTGAGGTTTAGCAATACCAGCCTAGCAACATGGGCCATTTGGTGGCCCAAGAAATCTTAGGACCATGCTGTCATGGCTAACACCCCTGGGGTGTCTGAAGGACAACTATACACAGTGTGTCTTCCAGGTTCTTTTTCTCCACGACCAATAAATCATACACAAACAGCCCTGGAGACAAAACACTCAACTATTTCACATGGTCATCCCTTCCCCTTGCTGCTGCTTCACCTGATGCATAAGATTTTTTTGTGGTAAAACTTGCGTTTTACAAGAACATGCAACAGAATTTGGGAACTCAGCGATCCAAAACCAGCTACATGAGGGTTTTCTTTTTCTTTTTTTCTTCTAATGTAAAGCAGTTCCAAGAAAAGTGAAGTCACAGCCTAGGGTGCTTATTTTCAGTTCTTAGAAAAGAGCCACTTTCAAAAGGGAAGCGGCACTGCCCGAGCACACTGCCTGCCCTCGTCTGGCAAGGGGCACTTGCTGATACACTCACTTTGATTTGGTACCAGAAAACTAAAACCCCCACCCGAGGTGCCTTTTCATTTGGTGATGTCAAGGAGGAAACGTTAGCTGAAGCAGTGAGAGTTATTAATATTTAGGGAAACCACAAGGGCTCAGCTAACATACTGAGGCGGCACACTTCGAACACGGAGGCGCTGGGAGCCAGTGGCAGGCTGTGAGGACTGTCAGGAAAACACAGGGCACCCTCCTTTTTCCCACCTCCTATGTTCCTGATCCTTCACTGCCCAGGCAGCAATATGAGCCCCATCAGCAATCTGCAATCCAGCATTATTTACCAGAAATTAGGTGAGGACACGCTGGGCAGGATATGGTGCAGGAGGTTCTCGGCAGCCCGGCTCAGTTTTCTAGCAGAAAAGCAGGTTTCAGATAAGGGAACCTCAGTAAGACAGATTTAGTGTAAGGCTGTAAGCAGCCACACACCCAGCTCAAGGGCTACTACTGGGAACCCCATGATAATTTTGGAATAAAGCTTTAACCTAAGAATCCTGTAACAGAGGTCCCGTGGACTACATCAAAAATCTAATGTCAATGTAATTAAAGCAAGTGATCGACTGTCCCAGCCAGGTGGAGTCTAGGGAGACAAAGACTGAATGTACCCGGATGGGATCCTGGAACAGGAAAAGGACAGCAGGAAAAAAACGGAGGAAATCTAAATAAACTATAGACTTTGATTAGTAACAACATCTCACTATTGATTCATTAATGGTAACAAATGTGCCATGCTAATGTAAGATGTTAAGAATCAAGGAAACTGGATGCAGTACGTGGGAACTCTTTATACTGTCTTTGCAATTTTTCTGCAGATCTAAAATTATTCTAAAAAAATTTTAAGGCAACTGATAGATGTAAATAAGAACTTAGTATTCCTCCCAGCAACAATCGTTCGGTGCCTACCACCTGTGCCTGGCACATGTAAAAGTGATTTAAATGCATCTTCATTTACAGATGAGGAAACTAAAGCAGAGAGATCAGGTTAACTTTCGTACACTCACACAGCAAGTTGAACAGATGAAGGGCTCATATTCAGGTCCATAGGGCTGCAAAGCTCTTGCAATAACTCAGCATCAATGCCTGAAAACCCCCAAACTCTGAATATAAACCTGCCTGAAACAAGCTTCAAGTGGTCAAAAAACCCAGATCGGTAATAAAAATGATGCATAATTTCAAATTTGCTCCACGTTTAAAAGAAAATGCTATAGTTTAAGAACAGCAAATCCAAAACACTGACAATACCGAATGCTGGTGAGCGTGTAGAACAGCAATGCTCATATACGGACGGGAAAGCAAATGCTACTGCCACTTTGGAAGACAGTGCTATTGACTGAATGTGTGTCCCCCCCCGGATTCATGTGTTAAGATGCGGGCCTTTGGGAGATGATTAGACCATGAGCGCAGAGCCCTCACGAATGGGATTAGTGGCCTCATAAGAGACCCCAGAGAGTTCCCTTCCTTCTTCTGCCATGTGGGGACACAGTGAGACGACAGCCATCTATGAACCAGGAAGCAGCACCTTGAATCTGCCAGCACCTGGTCTTGCATTTCCCAGCCTCCAAAACTGTGAAAAATAAATTCCGATTGTTTTTAAGATCCCTGCCCCCCACCCCTGCGCCCCACCCCTCCTGCCTATAGTGTTTTGTTACAGTAGCCCAAACGGACCGAGACAGATGGTCTGGCAGTTTCCCACGTGGCCCCCAGTTGTGCTCCCAGGCTTTTACCCCAGAGTTGAAAACATGTCCACAAAACCTGCACACGAATATTTACAGCAGCTCCATTAATGATGGCCCAAAACTGGAATCAAACCGATGTCCTTTAGTAGGTGAAAGACAAAGCATGGTACATTCATACAACGGAGTGAGCATTCAGCAATAAAAAGAAATTGCTATCAAGTTACCCAGACATGGAGAACTCTTAAATGCATATCGCTAAGTGAAAGAAATACATACAGTATGATTACAACTATACGACATTCTGGAAAAGGCAAATCTATGGAGACACTAGCAAAAAAATCAGTGGGTGCCAAGCCTGAAGGGGAGTGGGATGAACAGACACAGAGCATAGGAGTTTTAGGGCAGTGGAACTGTTCGTATGATACCATAATGTAGATAAATGTAAAACTCATAGAACGGCACATCACAAAGTGACGCCTAATGTGAACTATGAACTTTAGTTAATAATAATGAATCAATGTTGGCTCATCAAGTGTAACAAATGTACCCACCACGGCAAGATGTTAATAATAAGAGAAAATGAGGAAGGGGGTATACGGGAACTCTCCGTACTTTCTGCTTTTTTCCCATAAATATAAAGCTGCTCTAGAAAAAAGTCTATTTTAAAAAAATATACAACACATAAAACAATTTATTAGTGGTAGAAAATCAATAACCCAGCAAAACTCTACAGCAATGTTGGAACAAAACCTGACTCCCTTGGTATCTATAATCTAAGGAAAAGTGAGGGTTGGGTAAGAGGCAGAAACCCAACATCCAATACAATCACAACGAAGGCACTCTATACCAGGAGGATGCTCCTTCACAGTGTCTCAGCAAGTCAGAAGGCAGATGTTGATATCTAAAAGTTGTTCTCAATCAATTTGAAAGCGTTTCCGCATCTCCCATCATCACGCACATCTCAGGGAAGTGGACCTTAACGGGCTGAGTGGCAGAAAGTGAGCTGTGTCTTTGAGAGGCCGTGTGAGTTGCAAACTGGATGGGGAAGTTGCTGATGGAGAAGACCCGAGGGTCATGATGTCATCCCTTTCACGCAGTGTTCTCCTGCCCACGACCACGCTTTAATCACCACGGGCAACAACTGAGATCCAAAGTTTGCATCTTAAAATTAAGGTCACAGCGGGAACGGAAAAAGCATCATCACTTGTAAAACTTGGAAAATGCAACATGAGATTTCTGTGTGCTTTAGAGAGAATTAACAAACATAAACCAAAACAGAGAGGAAAAGAACACATCTGCTTTTCATCAGCAAACAGCAGTCAAGGCAAAGGGGCAGCAGGGGCTGAGTTAACTGGAATGTCCCAGCGTTTAGAAACCCTACATTTGGATCACTTGGTGATCCAAACCAAAGCTTTCCGAGAAACTTTTGAGAGCTACACACTGAACAATGTCCGTGAAATCCACATAGGACAAGGACCTAAGTTGTTTCAGAATTTAGGTTGTTTTTAAGGACGCTTCCAACATCTAAGGAATATTCCTGTGTAAATCTTCCACTTCCAAGGCCCACATGCTTTCATGGACGGGGTTATCGGAAAGGTCTGTCATCTTCACGGCCTGAAGGCACGGCTCAGGGCTGCACGCCTGAACTACTCCCATCACCATCACGTACTTTCCTAGGAAAAGAAAAGCCCACGGTATTGTTCATGTTGATAGAAACGACAAAAACAAAGCAGAGACCGGTCCTTCAGAGGGCTTAACTTTATCAGAGAGGCACATTAAAAGAAAAAATGCAGAGAGTAGAGAACGAAGTGCCAGGGAGGTCAGTGATCAAAATATATATATATGGACAAAAAATCCAACATTTAACCTGAAGGGTGACAGCTCTATCTTCTTTGGTTTCCGGTTTTAAAATGTTAAAAAATAAATAAATAAATAAAAGGGCAGCAAGCTATCATCACAAACAAAACGAGCATGCCCAAGGAATGGAAGAGTGTCACATCAGAGTATGAGTTATTAGTCAGACCGCTCTCAGGCAGGGGCAGAAGACCCAAGCTTTTCTCTTGTCCTCCTTGTTCCTTGATCGATGTCACAGGGTATGTGACTGGTCTCTGTGCAGAGGACCAGTTCTTTTTCTGCAAAGACACCCCCAGACAGCCCCAAAGTAAATCCAATTTTCCCTTGATGTTTCCAAAAAAGCTAGGCAAGAAGCAGCACTCCCAGGCTGCCCTGCTTTCCAGCTGCCCAGGACCAGCCTCTGCCACCTCCCCCTTTATCCCGACCACCAGCTGGGCACATGCAAAGCAAATCAACAAGAGGGCAGGCTGCCATCAGGATGATCTAATGACATATTAACTGCGACTCTCTTCCCATTCCCTTGGGGAAGTGGCTCTCCTTGAAAGCAAAACTTGGCAGGTCTTAACCACACAAAACTCAATTGTGTAAAAAACCCCAAAGACAGCAGGAAGGGCAGGCATGCTGCCAGCTCCCACTGCATGCCCCTGCTCTAATCACATGGCTTCCAACAGCAGGGCTGAGTTTGCAAGAGGGCCCCAGGGCTCCGACTGAAGGAAGCCAGGCTGGCTGATACCTGACCCTCTGGTTTTCAACTCCTAGTAGGATGTACTTAGGTTTCTCTGAACTCATCTCCGGATTCTACTTGAGCAAGGTGGGATTCCTCGGTGACAGAGGCCGGTTCTAAAAACACACTTGACATATCCTCTGAACGGCTGTAAAGTGCTGGTAGAGATAGAACCCTCAGAGAAATGACTAACGACTCAGGAAGGAAAGAACACACCCAAGGAGATCCTAGCCAGGAGAGGTGAACAGGACAGCCACTACGAAGACACATGCGACTAGAGGGCCGGGCTCAAGGCGTGAGTGCTTTGCTCTGAGGTCGACCTGGGTACTGGCCCTGTTCATCCTACTCCCACCCTCTCTGCCCAGGGTCTCTCCACTGTCTCCCCCACCTCTTCCCTTCCCTTCGATCAGGCCTTCATCCTCTGGTCACTTCAGTGGTTTCCAGCTGGTCTGCTTTCAGCTGCTTCCTCTTCACAACCATGCCCATCCTAAGGCAGTGACTTTCCTCAAATGCAGCTCCTGCTTCCAGAACCCTCTGATCAGCAGTCTAGGTCATTGTTTCTCCCCTCCTGCCCTGCAGACTTGGAGCAACTTGAGGGCAGGGAGAGTTCTGATTCAGTTCTGTATGTGTGGCACCTGACGTTTATGGACCAAACTGCTGGATGATCCAGAGGAGGCAGCAGCAGGGATCCAGCGCCGATGTGATGAATACAGCTCAAGGCCACCTTGAGACTTATCACTGCCACCTCACATTCTGCCTCAGGCTCCCCAAAGGCAGAGGGCTCTCTCACCTCCAAGCCTTTGCACATGTTGTTCCACGGACCTGGGCAATCTCCTGCCTCAGGCAGACATATGGTGACCATCTATTCTGGTTTTAAAAGTGAAAGTCCCATATCCCAGGACCCCCTCCGTCCCAGGCAACCTGGGAGGGTTGGTCCCTACATACAATTCCAACACATCCTTCAGGGAGGGCTACCTCCTCCAGGAAGCCTTCCCTGACCCTGCAAGCCTGGATCAGTTGTCCCTCATTGTCTGCTCCCTCAGTAACCTGTGTTCAAGCTTAGGTATTTGAGTTTTAGTGGCCTGTTTACTTTCCTGACTCCCTGCTTCGTCACTTAAGACTTGGTATTAAGTAGCTAAAGGAAGTGGCACAGCCCCTGCCCGCAGGTATTCAGGCCAGTGGCTAAGTCAGACAGGTTCACCAATGCCCATCTGTTCAAATGCTAAGGTACCTGCTAGTGCCAGACATGAAAAACACCAAGCGTGGGTTACAGGCTAGGCCAAGGGTCAGCAGACTTTTCTGAAAAGGGCCAGAGAGTAAATACTTCAGGCTTTGCAGGCCACAGGGCCTCTGTCGCAACTACTCAAGTCTGTAGTTGTAATGGGAAAACAGCCCCAGATACTATATAAATGTAGCATGATAAAACTTTACTTATGGATATTTGAATTTCATATACTTCTCACATGTCATGAAATGCTTTTCTCAACCATTTGAAAATGTAAAAACCATTTTTAGTTTGTGGACCTTGTGAAAAGAGGAGGCAGCCTGTAGTTTGCTGGCCCTGTGCTAGACTAACGCTGCAGCAGAGAGCAGAGAGGGAGGCTGAACGGTGGGGCCGGGGATGGGGTGAGAAAGGAACAGGAGTATTTTATAGTAAGGCGTGATGGTCACAATTTTTCAAACCCTCACTATAAACCAGGAGCAGCGTTCAGGCCATTTTTTTGTACTGAATTCACACAACAGGCAGGACTTACAAGTCCCTTTAGTGGAGGCAGGGCAGGTCCAGAAAAAGATAAAGAAAAGTATTCCAGGCAGCTCGGGAGGAAATGGGCGGAGCCAGGAATTCAACCTAATGCTGAAGATAAGGCTCTCAGGAGGACAGTCCCGTTATCCCTTAGTACAGTTTGGCTCAGTGGTTCTCAAGGTGTGGCCCCCGGGGGCAGCAGCACTAGAATCACGGAGTCTCCTCAGGGCTGGTTAAAAACATGAATTTCCAGCTCCACCCTCCCCTACAGACACACAAAGCCTGAGGGTGAAGCCCAGCCACTGAAGCGAGTCTGATGCACTCTCCAGTTTGAGCACCACTGGTTTAAAAGAAGCAAACATTAATGACCTACGGAGTAAGGCAGTTCCACAAGGGAGAGGTGCAGGTGGGGCTCCCCATTCCTAGGGGTCCAAGAGGGCTTCCGGGACGTTAAGGATGAACAGAAGTTTCCCAGTACAGTTATTTTCCAAAACTTGATGGGAAAATCATCTGTGGGAGGGGGCTTTTTACAAATACAAATGCTGGGGGTCCTTCCCCTAAAGATTCCGACGAGTAGGGCTAGGGGAGGCCTCAGAGCCTTTTTTAAATTTTTAATCCGGCTGCAGGTGATGCTTATCATCAATTGGCAGTCGACTGGGGGTTGGGACAGGAAGAAAGGGTCCCGAGGCCGGGGACAGGCACTGGCAAAGGCCCGGAGGCGGAACGGCCAGGCCCCGCCCCCTGGCTGCACAAAACGAGGGTCAGCCCCAAGTTCGACTCCGGGGTTACCTGGGGCGAGGCAGGGCCGCCCGCGCGGCACTCGCTCCAGGCCGCACACAAGAAGGCCCC